CTCGGTCAAAGTGACTTTTTTTGCCCCCCCCCTGTATATAAATCGCTTCGTCAGTTTGTAAGTTTGTCTGTCCGGAAATTCGGTTCGACCTGAAGAACGACTTAGAGAGGTCGGGTCAAAGTGGGGATGGGTAGGGCATGGGACAAGAAATAAAAAGCACACTTGACCTATGGGAAGCCCCGCCCACTTTCGGCGAGTGCCCCGCCCACTGTGGGCGGGGCTTCCCATAGGTCAAGTGTGCTTTTTATTTCTTGTCCCATGCCCTACCCATCCCCACCTTGACCCGACCTCTCCAAGTCGTTCTTCAGGTCGAACCGAATTTCCGGACAGACAAACTTACAAACAGACGAAGCGCTTTATATACAGGGGGGGGGGAGGGGGGGGGCAAAAAAGTCACTTTCCTTCATTGACTTTCGAGGCGCTATAAGTTACACTTTATAAATTCTGATCGGACATTTTTACCACCATATTAAAGAGCATATTAAATACTATCATGACACTCCGCCACAGCCTTCTGGACGAGCGCCATCGAGAGATTCTGGCACGCGACCGTGATGTGGTGCCTGAGATCAGCGAGATAGTCGATTTCTCCGCCACCGTAGACCACCCTATTGAACTCCGCCCGAACCGGGTAATTGAGGGGATTCAGGTCAGGTGACCTACTTGGATATTCCATCTTCTTTAGGTACTCAACGCCCTTCCATTCCAAGTAGGCGAGAGTTTTTCCAACGCCCTTCGATTCCATGTGGTGGCACCCAATGCTGTAGCAGTACAAAGTTTCCAAGAAGGTACGGGCGACGACATGTGAGGAGGATATTCACGAGTTGCTCGATGTAACCGCCAGCGCTCACCTTCAGTCCGGGGTCCACGAAGAAAATATTGGTCTTTCCATTCCAGGTACGTCCGGTCCATACCATCAACCCGCGCCTTGGCGACTGTGGTGAAGATGATGTCCTAGACCGTAGCGACGTTGTCGGAGCTGCTCGATGTTGGAGGTCTTCCAGATCGAGAGTACTGGTCTCCAGGTAGCTATCCATGGGTGACTCCATACTAGAAGTTTCGCAGCTGTTTGGAGGTGACATGAATTCCAAAGGTCTTCTCCAGTCAGGCTGCGACTGGAGATGACTTCATATTTTGGTGTACATGAAGGTGATGGGCGAGA